AAATACGGAATTGATACATTAACCATTTGAGTAGTTTTACAGTTCAGACAGAGAATTTGGAGATGAATAAGTGGACAGGGCTATAGAAGACAGAACAACCCCAAATCTGAGTTAATTATTAACTCCAGGGAAAATGAACAATTGCACAAGGAAATATAAATGATGTGGTTCAGCCATCAACAAGATTTATATGGTCACATTAATATAGAAATGAATATATAATATAATCACTTTGGGAATGAGGGAGGGAAATGGTGAGTGAGTAAAGGGTATAAAAGAGATCATTCTTCATTTTCTGTGGCAAGAAATCAATAGGTAATGTATAAAATGAAAAGATCAAGAAAAGCAGTAGAAAACTCTAATTTGGAAATACAAAGACAAACATGAGAAAAATGCTTCAAAGAATTTGAAGATAGTTTTTCTCTGAGAAATGATGGTTTTCTTGGAGTGGGTAGGGATGGGCAGAGGATCTGTTTTTCATAGTTTGTCTGACATAGTCCCAGTTTATCCTTGTTAGTCAGGCATAATTTTATTAGCTTTTCCCCTTTCACTCTCAAAATTGTTCCAATTTGGATGAAACCTTAAAGTGTTATTTGACTTTTTGTTGTTGGTACTTGACTTTTTAAACTATATTTAGGTAATGCTTTGATAAAAAATAAAATAAAATAAAAAGAGAACTCTTTGGATCCTAAATAAAATAACCATAGTTCATCCAGCTGAGCCAAAGACTTTCATTTTCTTTTCTCTAAAATTAATTATTCATTTTAAATTAAATACAAGCAGGCTTTCAGTTATCAAATGAAGTCACGAGAACAAAAGGCACAGTATGGGGAATATAGTCAGTGATATTATAATAGTGTCGTATGGTGACCGATGATAGCTACACTTGTGGTGAGCATAACATAACATATAGAGACGTTGAATTACTATGTTGACTACCGCAAACTAATGCAACATTGTGTGTCACCTATGCTCAAATAAAATTTTTTAAAAAAATAAATGAAAGTTATAAAAGAAAAATGATTAAATATACCGAATTGAAACCCTTAAAGGCAGGAACTAGCTTCTATTTCTTTCGTATCTTTTCATTTGTACTTCTGAATAGTCTGTACTTTATATTGCTTTAGAGAACTCCTATCTTTATTTTTCTTGTATTTGTACTATTAAGTCTACAAGAGGCCTACATTTTTTTTTAACTTTTAAAAAATATTCACTTTTGGAAAGTATCCCTACTAGATTTCAAATAACCTGACAGCAAGGTCTTGTTTGACTTCATCCATGTACATTTCTCAGTAGTAAACTCAGTGACTTGCTCATAAATATTGCTTAAATAAAGGAATGAATACAAAATACATACATACAAAATACATGCATGCATACATACATACAAGCAATATGTCTCTTTCAAAGCACTTTTTACATTCACTGCCTCATTTAATCCTTACAACTGCTTCATGGGGTAAACATACTCTCCCATTTTATAGATGACAAAAATGAGATTTAGACAGATCGTGTGACTTTCTAACAAGGTGATACGACCAGAGAATATGAGGCCACGCTGGACCAGGCCCACGAATGATGGTTCCTATGCTCTTGCCACAATATCAAGTAATAAGGATTTAAGTCATCCCACCAATAAACAGAATCTGATATGTAAAATCAAGAACTCAGGTTAACAGCCTGGCTGTTAGAGAAACAGATGATGAAAACCAATGAATAATTCAAACATCCTTTTGTCAGACTGGTCTCTGAACAGAAATTGTAATTAGTCCACCCAGTTAGGCATAGTGGAAGCTGAAATCACCCTCAGGGAAGGACCTCCCACACCTCCCTTGGAGTGGATAAATCCCTGCTGCAAACCTTCAGACCAAGGAAGCAGGTGAAGTTTTTAGAACATATCTTAAAATGACAAAAACAGTGCATGATTATTTCAGAAAAATAATCAAATAGAGATAAAACACAAAAGAAAAACATTTCAATTATCTAAATCCCATTTCCTAAAAATGAACATGGTTTACATTTTAGTTTATATATCTCTGCCTTTTTCTAACACTAATACAAAAAATAGGATCATATGATGCAAACTTCTCAGTAACCTGCTTTTCTCCCCCAAACACTCTCTTTCAGAAACAGTTTCATGTCTGTAACCAGTTGTCTAATATGGTTTTTAGTAGCTACCTCCTAGTTCACCACTTAGATTACTATATGCTCATTCTTTCTCTTTTTTTCTATTATTAATGATTAATAATAATTGTTTTTTCTATTATTTCTATTTTTTATTCTATTATTTTTCTACAGCAACAACAAAACTCTGCACACACATCTCTGTGCACATGTCCAATTGTTTCCTCAGGATAACTTCCCTGAAGTGAGATTACTAGGTAAGAGAGCATGTATTTCAGGGAGATTATAAATGCCCTCCTGAAAGGTTGTACCTCCTATCAGTAACAGATGCAAATGCCTGTACCACTGTATCCCAACTCTGTGTGTTCTTTGATCAGTGCTGTCATCTTTTCTAAGAGTTTAACCAGGAGGGAACAGGCAAGGGAGTTGAGATGAGAAGCAGATGAAACAAACAAGAAATGCCAAAAGAGGTCTTTAGTTCCTTCTTTGGAGTCCCTCCCACACACTAGTATTTTTCCAGTTTGAAACTCTGGCCTGGCTGGTTTCATCCTCAGCTAACAGCCCAACTTTCCCCACTTGTCCCTCTTTTATGTTATTTGATTTGGAGTCTCTCTTTACTAGCAAGTACAGTCCTTTGAGATGAAGGTTCACCTTATATGTCAAGTTTTGGACAGCATTATCACCCTGTAAAAGGTCACCTTGACATGCCTAAGGATCCCCAAATTCCCAAAACAAGCTTGTTAGAATGAACTGTTTAATACAGTCTCCCGCATTGATCTGCCAGCCATGGAAACAAAACCACATTGAAGCTCCCTAAGACAAGGAGCAGAAGCCAAGAGCTGGTTGTACATTCCTACACCTCCTCCTCTGATTCTTTCTCCCTACTCCCTGGGCCCACTCCTCATAAGTCCTCCTCCACTAGTTGGCCACTGAAATTCATTTGTGTGCTTTGTTTTATTTTATTTTATTTTATTTTATTTCATTTTATTTTATTTACCTTTTGTATTTTTAAAATTTAAATCCAAGTTAGTTAACATACAGTGTAATAATAATTTCAGGAATAGAATTTAGTGTGTGCGCTTTATTCTAAAGGGGTGCCATTCTGGCTATATTCTCACCATCCATTCTTTGCTTTCCATTCCTCCTTTGCTTCATGATTGAGGATCACACCTCTATTCTTTCTAAAACATGGCGGGGCCCCCCCCCCCCCAGTTGAGGACATTTGACAGCTTTGCACAATGGCTAAGGGTTCTCTTGTAATTCCTGGGTCTTGCCCTTCCTAATCAAGGGAGTTGGTAGAAGCCAGCCTTGTTGGTTTAACCACGCAACCCTTTTCTCCCTCAAGACTGGCACAGAGTTTGACATAAAGAGTATGCTCCACGGAGGTTAAATACAGAAACTGATAATGCATAGTCACCCACATTACTCACTCTATATACATTCATCTTGCTAGCAGTGGCCACACTCAGGGAGGGTAACAAAAGAAAAGACATGTAAACTTTGCACAGGGACATATTAACACTCAGCAACTTTTGTCCTGGGAACCCAATACCCGCCTCAATACCTGGCTTTTAACACCCCTAACATTGAAGAGGGAGAGGGAAAATTCCAACAGGCGGGACAAGTGGGCCTCGTTCTAACTCCCTGTTTCTGCCAAACCTCCTCTTGTACACGTGGTGCGCAAACTACATTCTCTCCTTAGAAACGGAAAATCATTGTTTTCTGGGTTTCACCTTCTACCACCTCAAATCAACAGTGCCCAAAGTTTCCCAATTCACCAGGACCTTGCATAAACGTAGTCATCTGGTTTTACTGATTTTAAGAGGATCATTAACTGTCCTATTTGTACAAAAAATACACAAAGTGACAGTCCAAAGTCCAACCCTTAGCCAAAATCATTTACAAAACATCTGCAGGGCAAAATGAAAGAGAGCGGAGAAGACACCAGAGAGGTAAGTTATGGGGGCTAAAGCTGCGGCCCCGAAATGCTTTCCAGCCCCCGGGTGTGACCGCCCCCTCTCCCCCACACCCACTTTGCCCCAACGCTGGCCTGGCCAGCGCTTCATCGTGGCCCCGCCCCGCCGCCCGAGGCCCCGCCCCGCCGCCGACGTCAGTTGTTATGTCTCGGCTCGGGCCGCTGCCCCAGCTGATCCTCTGCTCCCGAGGCGAGTGCCGCGGCCTCGCGAGGTGGCGGGGGCGTCAGGGACGGCGGCCGAGACCCGCGCCGCCCATCTGAGCGGGGCGGGCGCTGCGTGGCCAGGAAGCCGCCCCAGAGCTGCTCAGGGAGCCGTCGGGGCCTATTTTTGCCTTTCTCCTCCAGGACCGTCGGCCCGCGCGCCCCATTTATCTCTGCAGAGACCGCGACGCCCCCTCCCGGGCCGGGCCGCGGTGCCCGCCCGCCTGAAAGGCGCCGCCCGCCGGCCCGAGCGAATCTGGAGCCGCCGCCGCCGTGCCCGCCGCGCCTCTCGCG